TTTTTTTTAGCCTTAACAAAAGTGCAGGTGGTGCATTATTATAACCACAAAGTGGAATCCACAGTTCTGGGATGTGTGGGAACCTTGGCATTACAACCCAGCAAGTCTTTTTAGTCTGATGTAGTTCTCCACACAAGATTCCAATGTCTGTGATGAACTGAAGCCACTGTTTAGTCCTTCAAAATATTCCTGTAGGTGAGGGTCTCCACAGAAATCGGGGGTTGAACTCATCCTGAACTGGCTCAGCTCTTGATGTCCAACTGCAAGGCCATAGTCGCGTCCACCAAACCTAAAAGTTTGTACAAGGAAAATTTTTACTATTAAAATACTAAGAAAACGCTACAACATCCTTGTCTCTGTAGGGGGAAAAAAAAAACTATGCTTAAAGTGAACATATGCTTTTACTTAAGACCATCGGCTGTATTATGGCATTGAATAGAATAGAAGGTGGTCAGAGTTCCTGTAACTACCTGTCTTGAACAATTGAGTTGCTGAAAACATTGGCAGATTTTTGTCATGTATTTAAGGAGATAATATAAAACAGCTTTTCATAAATTTTAGCACTGGAATCAACATGTGAAAAAAGTAGACCTATTTAGTCCAAATTTTTGGTGGTACAAACACTGTGGTGTCTGTTTTTTATGACCATACAGTAAAAGAAGACTATATGATCAAGTGCATAGATCAGTGCAACCCAGGGTGGCTGTGGCTACAATGTAGCTTGCCATCACCAGTGTGTGAATGGGTGGATGACTGGTTGTGTAAAGCTTTTGGGGTCCTTAGGGACTAGAAAAGCGCTATACAAATACAGGACATTTACCATTTATAGATTAAAAGGTGCTAAAAAAAATTTCATTTTTGTGATTTCTACTTAAATTACAGAATTTTGATTTTTAATTGACAAGAGTGATACAAACCTATGAGGCAGGTAATACATCACATCCGGTTTACCAGATGGACAGCGTGACTGGCTGACTGGGCGGATCAGGTGCGTGTTCCACTTTCTTTTGCATTCATCCAGATCCCTCTGAAGCACAGCCATGAAAATGAAGCGCACCAAGCACATGTGTTCATGACTACCATTAAAGAGGTGCATTTCCTTCATGTCACTCAAAAGGTCCATCCAGAACTGTGTTCTAAAAGAGACAAAAACATACCATCAGTTCACAAATCACCAGCCTTCAAAGCCTCACTATTTCTTACGTTTCTGAAATTGTTTCTTGAGTTGATGTAAAGTGCGTGCATTTTGGATTTCTATT